TGAGGCGTGCGGTCCCTGCACATCATTAGCAATCTTCCTGTTCACGGCCCCACAGAGAATACAGGCCAACTCTCCGCCCCGCCCCCCCCCCCCCCCATGCTGGGACAAGGGAGGGTCTTGGACGAGGCATTGGTGCCGTCCAGCTCTGTCACGGCGTTGGCAGCACAGAGCTGATGCAGCATTTGGGGACCACTGGAAAAGGAAGGTTATTGCGGGTGGGGGTTGTCATTTACCGTACGTCTACACTGCAAATGAAAGCGAGACTGGAGCAAAGTAGGCAAAGCTTTACCGCTAGCGAAGACAGGTCAGCCTGGACACCGGCAGGGCTGGCAACCCCACGTACGTACCCAGGATCCTGGTCAGGTTTGTACTGGGCACCTAACCTGGGCGGAAATCTGTGCTTCCACATGTTTGCTACTGTTGTTACTAGATGAAAGCCAACACAGGTATGTCTGTCAATGCCACGATCACATCTCCATTTGCAGCACAGTCCTACCTTAGCATTTTCTGTTCATTTGGTTCACTATTATGGAAACCATGAGTTACACAGGGCTGTTCCCATGGGAGGAGAGAGAGGTGAACAGCAGAACACATCTTTCTAAAAATAAACCAGTCCATGTCTAGCCCAAAGACCGCTGCTGATCTCAACCTGCTCCTACCACCACACACACAAACCTCCCCCCTCTCTGCGCAAGCCTCTAGGATTCCCCTGAACAACAAGCATTGCCACCTGAGCCTGCCCTGAACCTGGCTGTTGATCAGTGCAGGACCTCTCTGTCCCTGCCCCTAGTTCCCTCTGCTGCAGAAACGCCTTCCGAACTCTGATCCAGAGAGAACGGCACACCCCGCACGCTGCCAGGCTGCACGGACACAAGTGGACCATTTCCATCCCCAACCTCTAAGCTTCTGTGCAAACATCCCTCCTATGGGTTGGAGCAGGATCAGTCCTGCCTGTTTCATGAATCCTAGGCATCAGTGGGCACGTGTACCCAGCAAAAAAAACACCAACCTGCAACAGCAAGTCTCAGAGCCCAGCTCAAGGGACTCAGACTCATGCTACGGGGCTAAAACTAGCTGTGTAGATGTTATACTCAGGCTGTAACCCAGGATCTGAAACCACAAGATGAGGGGGGCTTGCATCATTTCCCTGGGAGACTGTTACACTGCCTGATTGAAAGCACGATCTACAGGTCACGGATAGGGCACAGAAGAAGATCTGTTCCTGGTCACGCAGAGTCAAATTTTCAAGAGCGCAGCTCCCTTTTAGGCACCTATATAAGGGGAGGTTTTCAAGTGCCCAGCCCCCAGCAGCTCACACCCACTTCTGAAATACCAGCCATTTATTTTGGAACCTAAAGGGCAGCTGGGTTCTTTTGAAAGTCTGTGACCACTGGCAAGTCCCTTCCCAGCTTGATGCCTCAGTTTCTCCATCTGTAAAATAGATCTAATAGTCTCGTGAATACATTGAGAGTCTCAGCAAGATGGCTTTTCACGTATGCCAACTGTTATCGTCCCTAAAAATCTCTGTCAGGACTTTCTTCCTGAAGTGCAGCCAGCATTGTTCTTTCCTAATTCCATCCCATTACCTGTAGTTCTGCTCCCTGGCACTATGACTATTATTAATCTCCATTAGCACCTACATGCCTCAGCTGAGTTTGGGGCTCCACTGCGGTAGGCACTGTACACACATCTCTTAAGACAGCCCCTTCCCTGGAGAGCTTGCAATTTAAATGTACAACATTCACAAAGTGTGTGTGTGAGGGGGAGAATGAAGCATTATCCCCATTTTACAGATGGGGAAACTGAGGCCAGGGGGAAGTGGCTCGCCCAAAGTCACACAAGAAAGTCTGTGTCAGAGATGGGAACTGAAGACAGATTTCCTGAGTCCCGGTCTAGTACCTTGACCACAAGGCCAGCCTTCCTCTCAGTACCCTAAGTATCCTAATATTCCTCCTTCCCTTTGCTTTTCGAACCCTTCACATACATGTAGATTACCCTCCTGCCTTCAGGAAGCTGTTACTCAGCGAAACTCTCTCTCTCTCATTTAATTTTCTCCTCCATCATTTCTACGCTTCTTTGTTCTGAGCTCCTTCCCATTTGTCACTATCTTTTGGGGAGGGAGACCGGAGAACTGAACACAATATTCCAGGAGCCTTACGCAGAGGGACACCTCACTTCCCAGCATCTGCTTCTTCATTTCCTGGGGGCAGCATTTCTTATGGCAACCGGCAGCTTCTTGTTTTTCTTGCTCGCGCTTTGATTAACACACGCGGCTAGATCTCTCTATCTAAGGGGCCCCCGCTGGTTAGTGATCAGGTTGTGCGGAATAATATGTCTGCTCTGGGAGATTATGGGGATATTGTAGAGGGCTATGGCACAGCTGGTGCCCATACACATTTCAAATTGCTCGTTACCCCCTTGGAAGGCTTCCTCACATATTATAATCATTCCAAGAGCTGTGCTGCTCCAGCATGGGTGACATTAATTATAAACCACAAATCTAAATTATGGCAGTGCCCTGTTTCACAAAAATCAAGTAGTTGCACAGTGCCTTCCATCTGGGGATATCAAAGCACTTTACAAATACTAAGCTTCAAAACCTACCTTGGGCAGCTGGTGAGTATCCCATTATTCCAATTTCCAGATGGGGAAACTGAGGCACCGTGCGAGACTGTGACTGGCCCAAGGTCACACAAGGAGTCAATAGCAGAGCTGGGAGGAGAACTCAAGGACCCCTTCTCCCATTGCAGGAGCGAAGTTAACCTTAAGGCACAAGCCATGCCCCAGGGGTAGGAGTGATCCATTTCTACTCAGGAGGGCTTTCATTATCAGCCTGCTCAATCTCAGTTACTGCAATTTCTGTAGCCATGTTTCTTGGTGCACTGAGGAATCACCTGGCACCACCGGGATTTCCTTAAAAAATGGGTAACCTTGTGTAAGTCACTTCCCCTCTCTCTGCCTGTGTCTCCTCCTGCCCGTGGTCCCATCTGTTTAGACTACCTTCTTCAGGGCAAGGACTGTCTCTTGCTACGTGTATGTACAGTCCCTACTGCAGTGGGGCCCTGATCTCAGCTGCTAAATCTACTGTGTGATGGGTTTGGTCACAGAGACCCCCTTGGGACTGTCACCTGATGTGCTGAATTTACCTCTGTGCCTGTTCTCCCTGCCAGCTTGGGACTCCAGAACCCTGCCATGTTGAGCCAGACAC